CTTGTAGGAGTGTGAGAGGCCCCTGCGCTTCATCATCAACTCCAGAACCATGCTATTTTGAAAATAAAAGACCTGTATCCTGTCCAAGAAATAAACTCTGGAGGTGACTTGCCATGTTGCCATTTTGGATTACAAAAAAGTACTCAGCCAACACACAGGGGAAGGCTTAATTCCAGCAAACACACACATAAACAGGAAATCTCTCTCCAGTCAGAAGGTATTTTTCCTTCGTACAATGGGGTTCAAAGATGTGTCATCATATAGTTTAAAACAATCGCTAAGGAACCTTACCATTTCCAATAGCTTAGGAATAGAGTTGGCTTCCACAGTTGAAAGCCTGTCTGAACTTGCATGGGAAGCACACAAACACTAACAAATATATGCTGGCTTAGGCCAATGCAGAGTTTTTAATCAATAATCATGTCAAGCTGGGGGACAGGGAGGGGAGGGAATCAATTTTCAGAAGGCAAATGGTAACAACTGTAGATTTAATCAAATTGCAGCTGCAATCCCTTACTATTCTCAATATTTTTGAAAGAAAGTAGCTCCATGGCAAAGAATGAATTTCAATAAATGTCACACACTTAGGTTTATTGCTGAATTTTTAAATTTATCAAGCTAGGTCACTGATCCTTCGCAAAAATGATAATCATACATGTCAAAAATATTCTGATACTGTTTAGTTGGATAAACATCAAAATGAAGAAGCTACAATAGAGGAAAGCAACTTACATAAGAAATTGTTGTTTCTCCATGACTACAGTAAAAAAAGATATGCCAACGTGACCCTTCAAAGAAAGGTTAAAGCTGCAATGCACACAACAAAATGGATTGCTATCAAATACCATAGCGATGGCCATAGTGTGAACACTTGAGCAAAATGAAAAGCTTCTGAAAGCATTCGGCAATTTTCTTTTCACGTGCATTTGCAACCAAATTTATCACGAATTCAAACAAGAACCTTCTGCTACCTTCCATACAAAAGGACATTTGCATGTTCTTTTTCTTGGGACTAGCAGAAGAGACTATCACAGAGCTGCAGGATGCACAAAAAAACCATTTTTTTTAAGTACCTTCAGCTTATTAAACACCTAAGCATAACAGAAACTCTTCTGTTATTGACACCTGCTTGAAAAATGAAATGTTCTGTAGCACTTGCTTCCCTGGAGACTGGTGTGCTGGTGGGAGAGGCAGAGGAGAGAGCTTTCAGGCCATCCAGTGCTTCCCTGTTTGCACTGCTTGCACCCTGAGCCTGGCTTACGTATACAGCCTCTCCTTAAAATATGAGCACTATCAAATCCTTAAAATTTGAGGGTTATATACCCCTCAAGTTCTTTATCTCCACTTCCATTTTCCTCTCTCTTATTTCGTATACTCTATTGCATCTTATTCAAGGAAAGTCCATCTGAGCCAACGGGACTCGGTCACCATCCAGCCACATCAAGTGACTGAAAAAGATCACAGCGTGACTAAAAAGTCTCAGAACAGATCAAAAAACATGGCAATCTACTCAGGAACACTGTTTCCTTCAAAGGAGTTATACCCTAGACTAATTTGGTCTGCTAACTTTACCTCTCCTTTCTTTTTCTAATGTTTAGAATTGGAGAAAAAAAATACTTTATCTTGTTGTACAACATCATAGTTTTCCTCAAGGCAAATAGCTTGGCAATTTGCTAGATTTGTTAATGCTAGAGGAAACAAGTTAGCACACATACCATGTGTTTGAATGCCTTTGGAAATTAGATTGAAACACTGATTTGATTTCCTAAAAGGTATCTTCAACAAGGCAAGGTTAGAGATTTGTAGAGTAATGAGAATTTGTGTGACTTCAAACAGCTCTACATAAAACAGACCTGATATTCTGGGGGGAAAAAGGTCACCTAATTATTCGTTTCCTGAAGGCCCTGTCTATACTACATTTCCCCTGGGTAAGAAAACTGATTTAAAAATGGCTTCTGCTAACATGCTTGCATCAGTTGCTATGTATGAGATATAGATTTTTAAAACCATTGCTAAAAAACCCACAACATTTTTCAGGAGAAAAATAGAAACCTTCTCGACTTGGATGTAGCAAAGAGGTGCCCTCCACAGAGTCCTGCACGGAGCTGTGGCCCTGCCTCCTTGGCAATGGCACGCTGCACAGGGCCACATGGCATGACCATCAGTGGTATGTTGCATGGGCTTGATTTCCAGATACAACCTTTGCATAGGAGGCAAAAATCACAGGGTGTGGCCACAGCAGACAAGATGCACAGGTTGATAGCTCTGCTAAGGGTAACAGCCTAGTGAAACATGAAATTTGTGCCACAGGCTTAAAGGCCAGATGAGGTAGCAACAGAGAGGTGGAAACCCTGGACACAAGGGTTTCCCAGACACCCACCACAAAGGTGTTGTTGCCGCCCAAAATCTTAGGAACGTGTGTTTGAAGTCTCCTTTCACACACTGCAACCCATTCCTTCTCCTTTGCACTAAACAGATCCTTGTTACTTCCTACTGGGTTTTGTGTTTCTGTAGTTTCAGAGAAAACTATTCAGCTACCCTATCACTTCCTTGCTCAAGAAATGATGTGTAATGCTGAGAGAGCCCAAGCAGGATTTCCCTCACGCTAGATATTCTACAAACACAGATGGAGATGCAGAACCTCTCCTTGCTTTCTGCCTGAAGCAAAGAAAGTCTAGACACATTCCCACCACAGAGCAATCGTGGTACAAAGCAGATCACCCAGTGCTCTGGGACTCCCACTCCTGCAGCTCTGGCTCTCTGGCTATCCCAGCACAGCACGCTGCTGGCATCAAATTCCCTTTGCAGCGGTGAAGGCAAGGCTGCTTGCTGCTCTTGTACTGCAGCCAGCTGTGCCAGTTAGTCTCTGGAGTTCTGTAAGCAAGATTTGGGAGGCAGCAGGCTTTGGATTTCTCATCCGCGCTGAAAAACATGGAGCAGGCACTTGCAGATCATGTAAGAATAACAGTGGGTGGGTTGGCCCCTTCAATTGCATTGGACCAGCTGGAAGAGGCTACAGATCATCAGCTGAGGTACCAAAAAACCATAAACGCAGGAAAATCAACTTGAGAAAGACAGTCCTGGAAGGACAACATTTGCCACCCAGTTTTGCATTCATAAGCCTTTCACTGAACCTCTGCTGAATTTTGACTTTCTAGCTGCCTTGCCCTGACTCAGTGAGCTCCCATCCATCTCCACCCGAGCAAATGACCTCTACAAACCACTCTCCAGCCACAACCTGTGCAATTTAGTTTACCAATAAAGAACCCCTATGCAGTGGTTACCCATTGGAGAGAAAAAAAAAAATCTTTATATGATAATAAAGAAAGACAATTCATTCCCTCTCCACCAAAAAGGCACAGAAATTGAGTCTCTTTTCTATAAATAAAGAAATTAATATTTTACAAAATATTCCATTTTCCAAATGATTCAGTTTGTATTAGAAGACAGAAGAAGAATCATACAGTGCTGAAGAAGGATTAGGGCACAAAGAACAATTAATACAGTCATTCTCTAAGTTACTTTGTTTTCAACATGCAGCTCCTGCCAAAAGCTAGCTTTTTGCTCTCACAGTGCATGATCTGTAAACATTTAACCAGCTCCCTGAGAAACATGTGAGACCCTTTATCTTGCCTGATTATGAATCCAAACCTCTCAGATCTCAGAAAAAAAAAAAAAAAAAAAAAAAAGAAAAGAAAAGAAAAAAAAAAAGAAAGACAACAAAAAAGAGTCACTGTCCTCTTTTTGCTGCTGGACAATGTAAAAAGCACCTGTAGGATGAAAGCAAATGAACTACCACACAGGGCACAGGTTCTTTGGGAAAAGCATTCACTGCAGCTTGAATCACCCCCTACGGGTTACACATGCACAGTTTGCTAAACAACACTGTTACTTCATTATTGATCCCTTTTTTAAGTTGTATGTACAAAACTTCAATTTCTAAGGAGTGCATTCAGTATTTATAAATATATCCATATTCAGTATATATATATATTCAGTATTTATAAATACACAAACCCCTCTAATTTAATGCTTACATGGGAACGGTGGTGGAATGCCAATATACAGAGCGGACTGTTTACCATTTGCAGCAAATTCTGCTTTAAAAAATGAAAAGAAAAAAAGAAAAAAAAAAGCCAAACCGCAAGGAAGACTCTGAACGCCACAAAACCATAAAGTACACATGCCCAACTCGGGGAATCCTGCAGGCTCACCCCGAGACCTGCGCCTCACGGAAGACGGCCGGACAGGCCACCACAAACCCACACCTTAGGGCCACCGTGTCCGAGTTGGAACTTCGAGGCTGAGCTGCCGGACGGACGCTGCTCCGCCGGCGCGCTGAGCGGGGAGGGGCGGGAGGGGCAGCGGCTCAGCCCGCGGCCGAGGGGCCGCTGCGGGCGGCATCCCGGGAACCGCTGCCCGCTCTGCCCGCCGAGCGCAGCCCGGGAAGCGCTGCCCGCCCTGCCCTGCCCTGCCCGCGGCAGCGACGTCGCGGGCGTCCCCGGCTGCGAGCGCCCCGCGGAGCCCGGCAGAGCAGGGGGGAGCCGGCGCCGCAGCCCCGCACGGAGCTCACCTGCCCCGCAGCGTCTGGCCCGCCTGCCCCGGGCAGGGCAGCACGGGCGGCCGCGGGCGCCGCCGCTCTCCCGCGAAGTTCCCGGGCGGGGCACAGCGCAGCACCGTGCCCGTCCTCCCCCCGCTCCCGGTTCATCCCGCTCCCCGCGTCGCCCGGCTCGCCCCGTCCTCCCCGCGGCTGCCGGTCCTTACCGGAGCAGAGCGGAGCGGGCTGCACGCCGGCACCGCCGCCGGAGGGACGAGCGCTGCACCCCGGCGGGCTGGGCTGGGCTGGCTCCGCAGTCCTCGCCCGGCAGCCGGCCCAGCCCGGGCGGGCGGGGCAGAGCGGGGCGCAGCCCGGCGCACCTCCGCGGCCCCGCGCCGCTCTGCCGCTCCCCTCCGCCCCGCAGGCTCAGCCTCCCCCCAGCCCCGGCCCTGGCCCGCGCTACCTGGGGGCGGCGGGGGCTGCGCGCCACGGCGGGCAGGGGCGTCCCTCCGTCCTGCACAGCACCTGGGCTGCGGGGCGGCTCTGCGCGCCTTTCCCTCCGGCGCCTCCGCCGCGCTCGTGGCGGCTCCCAGCGGTAAATCAGCCGGTCCCCGCGCTCCCTCCGCCCCTCCGGCGCGGTCCTGACCTGCCTGTGACTCACCACATCTCAGGAGCCCGTGTGCGTGGCGGGGGAAAGGAGGAAGGGGGCGCCTTCTTCCCTCCCTCCCTCTCCCCTCCTTCCTTCCCCCCATCCCTCTCGGTCAGGCGCCCCTAGCCCGCGGGCAGGAGGGATGGCTGCCACTCCCCAGACGGGGAAAGCCACTAGGGAACGCTTGGTGAACCTCATCGTGCACCAGGGCCAAGTAGGTACCGGTGGTGTGCAGGCACAGCCTCCTGCTGTGCTCCCGGCCGCTGGGCACCCACCGTCTGGTGTCAGCGCTTGATTGGATGCTAAAGCCTTACCGTGGGAGGTCAAGATATAGGTACCTGCAGACTTGTCTCTGGACCCCCGAGGTTATGTAGTAGTAAACAAATTTAGCCCATACTGCTCCATCATGTCAGTGATGACTGTGCTCTGAATGTCTGTCCCACAACATTCACGTAAATGGCCTCAGTTCACACAGACTGTCAAATAGCTCCCTCTCCCCATATATGCTTCCTACAGGGTACTAAACTGCAGAGGTTGGGGTTTCTCCTTCGCAAGGTTTGCAAAACAGATGGTGACTTCATCTTTCGGAGGTGCTGAGAAACTGAGTCACTGAGCAATGCAACCCATGCAATGTTCACTTGTGAAGCTACTGAGGGACTGCAAGTCTCAACACTGGGGCCTGCACCAAAGGATCCATCCTTTTTCTGGTAACAAGTTTCAGCAGCTACTGATTTAAACCAGATTTTAAGTGAAAGGCTCCATATTCCATTAGAAGTTACTGGACACATCTATTTTCCCTTTGCTTGCTTCCTTTTTTGGCCCCAACTCTGCTCCCCTTAATCATGCTATTTAAACGGATGAATGTTTTTCATGAGTAAAGTACAAGGAACTGTAAGAAACAGTGCCTAGTTTCATGATTAACCATGGGAAAAATGTCAGACCTTACACAAAATATTTCAAAAGGAACATTAAATAGAGTATTGTACGGATTTGCTTTAGGCCTTGGATGTCACCATGATGTGTATATAGACAAAGCTGTACATCAGAAAAAAAAGGTTTTTAAAAAGCAGTTAGCCAGCCTTCTGCTAATCTTCAGCAGCATCACTTTCACAGTCTCCTCTTTCCTATGGGCTTTTGGAAATAGTAATGAAGACATCTAACCTAGCTACAGGCTGATTCTTTGCAAAAACAAATGTGTGATTGAAGGCAGCCCACCCCTCCACTTTCCCTCACGAGGAAGTTGTAGACTGCAATGAGGTCTCCCCTCTATCTCCCCCAGGCTGAAAGGCCAAGTGACCTCAGATGCTCCTCACATGGCTTCCCCTCTAGGATCTCCACCACCTTCATAGCCATCCTTTGGACACTCTCCTTGGAAACTTTATATCTTTCTTATATTGTGGTGCCCAAAACTGCACACAGTACTCAAGGTGAGGCTGCATATTCAACTTGCCATTGACCAGACCCCCAAATCCTTTTCTGCAGTGCTGTTCTCCAACCTGTTGTTCCCTAGTCTGCACATGCATCCAGGATTGCCTCATCCCAGATGCAGAATTTTTCGAAGTCCCTGGAAATCTGTCCATTTACTTCAATGACCTTTACTTCAATTAATACTCAGCAATAGTTAGAAAAGGAAGACTGGGAAGCAGCACACACAATGCCAGGGAAAAATGTGGTTGCAGTTAGATTGTACTGCTTACTGGGCTTAGTGATCAGTCAGTCAGTGTGCATCCATACAGTCACACCAGATTTAGAAGAATCTGCCTTATTAGTTTGGAAAGAAAGTGATAAAGAAAAAGATTTCAATCTGGAGTTCATCCTAAGGACAGCCCCTCACATTACCTGTTCTTAGTCTGCTCCTGGGTTCCCCATGCACCTGCCTGGGCAGAACAGCTAGAGTCCAGGCTGTTATCAGTGGGACGGCCTGTGCTATTCTAAAGCTAACAAACAGATTGTCAGTAACATAAAAAGGAGAAACAGATGTTTCCTTTCCATTTTGACCATGCCGATGCCATGTTATTTTAGGTTAGCTGTATGAGACAGTGACACTGCACTGGGGCTTTGATAATCCTCAGATACTCCTTTCACCATGCTTGTAGTGCACCACAAACAACTTCTCAAAGGTTTGAAACACCTTTAAGGTGCGAGTGAAAAAGAAACTATGACCTTCTTATTTATCATCCTAGGTTTTTCATAAGTTTTCCTCACTTCCCTCTTCTGTCCAAAAAAAGCTGGTTCTCTGCACTCTGGCATAACTATGATGGTGTAGCACATTTTATAAAGCTGACGGCACTGGAAAAACCAATTCAGAAGTGTGAAGGAGAGTCTGTCGGAGTGATCTATTCAGCAAGAGAAGTGGAACGCACCAGGGAGTGTATTGGCACATGCTTTCCAGCCCTGACGTGTTTTGAGATAGGAAGCTGATGAGCAAACACTATCACATTTCCAAGAATACAAACATACAGTTAGAAAAATGAATTGCAAGGTTCTGTTGAAGTTAAACTTTTGAATGTAAACATAAGGAATGAAAACACAGAACAGTTTGTATTTCTGGGCATTGGCAGTAGTGCATCCCCAACACACTAAGGTGCCCAGTTCAGTCTTACAGGTTTCATTATGACTTGTATTCAGAAACTAGGAAATTATTTATCATACCTACAGGTAGCAAAATGAAGCCCATACACCTAGGTACCCAGTTTATACTTAATTTCAGGAAGGAGAATATATTTAAATATCTCTGTAAATCTGGGTCTAACCACCTTTCTAAAATGTTCAGAATCAAACGTGCATTCCTGCAGAGCCACACTCTACTGTATGGCACCACAGCTACAGGGTACCATCAGGGATTTACGCTATGTCTTCTGCTGCAGTCATTCACACCTTTGGGAGCAGATATAAAATGCAAATGTCATTGTGAGACTCCAGGGACTTCAGGCTTAGCAGGGCTTACTCATGAGTAAATGATTTCAGAAGGAGTAAGACAGCGGAAAGGAATTAATTTAATGCTTAAGAACACACAAGACAAAGATCTCCAGACCTGAGCTTAGTAGTGGTGGGTATCAGGTACCCTCCTCCCACAGTAGACTGACAGTAGCTCAATCTGAGTCTCCCTGGAGGCTGATAGACAAAAAAAGAACCTTAGATGAACCCACCCAACCCAACTGCCTCACACACCAGTGATCCAAAGGGAAAATTACAGTGCAACACCCTGCTGGGGTAATGTGTAGCTGTATTTCCTGTAGACCCTTGTTTACTGGAAGGCAGTGTGGCTGCAAATGCCAGGGGCAGCTCAGGGAAGAGGATGTGCCTGAGGCACATTTCCCTGTGACTACTTTGTCCCTTCAAGTCACTCTGACATGATCTGTCTTTCAGTGTCTTTCATGGGCTCAAAAAAAGCATGTGGTGGACAGAGAGACTGTGTTGACTGGGGGATTGGGGTCTGGAGAAAGCATGCTCATGGTGGTTTGTCTGCCTCTCAGGAAACCAGCCTAAATGTCACAATTGCTACTTAGATCTGTAGATTCCAAAGATTTGATCATCACTGCATTTTATGGCATTAATTATCTGGCCATTTATTAACTACACACGTAGTTTCTGCAAACTAAATAAGCACTTTTTGTTTGTTTGTAAGAGGGTCAGCAATGTCACCAGAAGAAATTTCAGCCTATGACTGGAGGTTGCAAAAGTCCCTTGCAAAGCCAGAAAAAAAGTCCACAGTTAGAAGTCCTAATCTCTAACCACTAAGCTACCCTGGGCAGTTCTCTATTTGTATGGAAAACCAGATTGTAACCAAAGGTGTTTCCAGCTATTGAACTGTGGATGATAGGTTATTTCTGAGCAAAGGCAAGGCCTTTGTTTAACTTCATGGGGGTTTTATCCTTTTTGTCTTTTTGCTTGTAAGTGAACACCACAATTGAGCAATTCCAAAATGCAAATAGTGCAGGCATCAACTAACTGTAATACTTGAAAATGGAGGAAAATATGTATGGGGCTAGTGCATCTGAAGTCTGGATTGCCATGGGTCTGTGTCCCTGTTGTGCCAGTCCTGGAACCTTGGTGATCACGTGGGAAGCTGGTACATGAAGTTCAGGAATTCAGCAAAAATTAATCACTCAAAAGAACAAAGATTAGCTTACAGACAGATTAGTTCCTCAGATCCATCTGCCATGCAGTAACGTGAGTGCTCATGCTGCAAAAGGACGAGGTCAGAAACAAAGGAGGAGCGTGGGCTCATAGCGGCCAAGATTTATGATAGCTTAAAGAGAGGGGGCACCTCACCCTCTGGAGTGCAGTGGGGGAACTGGGACGAGATGGTGTGGATTGCAGCACTGCTTCCTGTATTAGCCTCACCTTCTTTCCTAATGGGGTTGAAATATGTTAAATATCCAAATCCCTCTGCATATACAAAACCCAGAAATCATTTCAGGGATGGAAAGCTCAACAGTCTTTATGATTTTATGTTCATGTCCCTGAAACTAATAGAAGTACAGTAGCCCTTGGTGCATTCACTGAGCTCACACAGCAGCAGCAAAGGCTTTCAGCATATGCTGTATAGAACTTTTCTAGCACAGCTCATCATGAACTGCTTCAGGCGAAGCACAGTGACAAACCCCAAGCCCAGTATTATATACTTGCCACTTTGGCACAGTAGGTTTGTTTGTATAACTGAAAATGAACCTGGTGATATTCAAAAATCGAATATTTACAAAGTGAGGAAATTGCTGTATATTATTTTTATATGTTCACTCGTATTGCACATTCAGTGTGTCTTTTTTTTTCAGTAAATTTTAAATTGATTCCACCCTGTGGCCACCTTACTTTGACTGCAAATATGCTGCATTTGTTTTGTAGTAAAATCACACAGATTTTGGTATTTCCAGGATCATTTTTGGACCGATGGCTGGAAAGATTCCAGAAGACTCTTTTCATTCCTAT